AGGATAACGGGGACGGGTGTAGCCTGTGTTATAAATAATTTAATGTATATCTGTAAGCAACGATAAACCATTGCTTACGAAAAAATGATTCTGAGCGAAGTATAATTGATAGTAATGCTTTATCAACAATGTTTATGCCATAAAATTGAGATTATTTATCAGTAAATTCAATGTTATGATAAATAAGACACATAATAAACATTTTATTGTTTGTTTCAGGAAACTGAAATTATTTCATTCCGTTGTGCGAAAAATGGTTTTGGCGTATGTCGCCATTAGTTTTTGCTTGATTATAATCATTACGTATTTATTCATAGAGGTACAGTTTTCATATAATATATTATATTGGGTAGCATCTATGACTTATGACTTAATTTTCTTCCGCTTTATGGCTAATCAAAGGGTCTTACGGTTGCTATAAAAAACCTCCACACTGCTCTATGAATTGTTACTACACCTAATTGGTATTCTATGCGCCAATCTCCTTTTTGGTTTAGACTTACTCCCGGCTTTGGTATTCAGTATTCATCTTTGTATTTATCCGTTATCGGTTAGAGACGTTCTAGTAGTGTTTTTGAGGAAATTGTGTAAGTTATGTATGTAAGAAAATGCCTCTGAACATTTTTTTCTAAGAGGTTTTCAAAATAGTTGAGAAAAACCCGAAAGAAATTTTAGGTAAAATGGAAAATATTTATGGCGTACCGTTTTTATTGTTTTTAATTTTTTCTAGAAATTTCAACCAGAAATATGCTCTAATCGAAAAAGTAATTGATTTTGTTTCTTTTAATATATAGCCGCTTACAAAAAGTGTTTAGTCTTAAGAACGTTGTTTTTTGATGTCTAAAGAATTTTTCATAATAATTGGGAAAAACCAAAAAAAGAAGAAAATATGATTCTTTTCAAATTACAGCACAACAATTTAATTATTTAAAATTTGTATGGTTTAAGTTTTTTACAAAAAATAAAGCAATAAAAGAAAACCGAAAATAGAAATTTGTTGTTGCATTTTTAATCTATGTCGTGAGTTAGGTAGTAATTAGTTTTTAATTTTTTTGATAGTTTTTGAAATAATTGAGCAAAACCCAGAAAATATATAGAAAGAACGGGAAAATTTATAAAAACAATTTTTTTATATTTTTGAATTTTGTTGTTTTATTTAATTCATTTAAAAATATTTGCAATGCCTTAGGTTCATTACTATCAAACTATTTACTTTGTTTACACGTTTTTCTTTCATATGGTCTTATAAGTTACTTTCTTTATAGTTTTCTGTATCTGTTCCCACTAAATTACTTCTGTGGAAGGCAGTTTTGACCGTAATGTTTTCTACAATTTTATTACAAGCGCTACTTTATATTTTTTTTACTCCCTATTCTTTGAATTTTTTGATATTCAATTTAGTTGTATCTTTTCTCTTTAAATATTCGCGTATACCTAGCTTATATTCAAATTTTGTCATAGTTCATGACACAGTCCACGTCACGAAAATTGTCTTGAAATTCTCCTGAATCTAATTTCTACGATTATTTGTTCTATTTGGTTCTCCATATTTCCATCAGGTAATCTCCATGTATATTTATACATATTTTGCCTAAAAAAATTGTGCTGATGAAGGTTATTATTTTTGACGTTGCTAAAGATATTAGTTGAAAACCATTGTCGTTGTTATGTTCGTGGGCACTTTCCTTACCGTAAAATAAACGGCCGACAAACGTACTCTTTTCCAATTTTTGCATTGCATTCACTCACTTAAAATTTTGTTACACATCCTTTTATGTCGTCATATACTCTGGTTTCTCATAAAAAAAAACAACCTTTTCCGTTGCTTCTGTGGATTCTATCGATTAATGTATATTAATGATGCGAATGTTTAAAAGCTTTGCTTTTACATTTTATTATGCTTTTACGTTCCGATATGAAATTGAATTTAATTATACTTTCTACGACCTTATATAGTATACAGCAAATCCTGTTCTAAAAACATACCGATTATCTAATACATGGTAAAAATTGTGAAATCACAAATTCTGATCTATTCAGTACCATTCTATCTCACTTTCTGTCGTGCTGCTAGGCCTATATTGTAGCATGCCAAAACCTCAACGATATTCTAGCTATCCCTAGTTCTAAAAATACTGGGTATGTTCCAAGTCGCTATCTTCTTAAATCCGTACCAGTTTCCGTTTATTAATACGAATACATCTGATGTCTGAGGTGTTGTATTTGTTTCTGAACATGGTTTTTCTACAGTATGGGGTTGTTAGGCCCACGATAAACCACTATACCCAAGAAGAACAGGCTACTTTAGCCTGAGTAGAGCTACTGCAATGCATTGCATTGGGTGATGGGAGCGCCACTTTCCTGACACCTACAGCAACTATTTATAGATTTATATTAATAATATTAATAATACCTATATAATGCTATAGATATATCAATTATACAGTAGCAAAATCTATTAATATACGTTTATTCTTCAATTTCATACACCTTCCAACAAAAGTGGCTCGCTTTGCAATCACATCTCACCCCCCATCCACCCTACTAAATAAAAATATAATAATATTCTAAATAATCATTATTAACTCGAATCAATTTCTCGCACGAACTATGAACATAAAATATATAATATATTCGGCACTCCTTAAGGCACATATTACAGAAGTATAATAATTCTGAGCGTTATATAATTAAAATAAATTTGTTTAATGAAATCAATTGTGGTCATATTTGAAATATATTAGTATTACTTCGTATTTTTTCCATAAGTATTCAATATTAGGATAGCAATACCGAATCCCCATTTAGTCTTGACCAATACTGGCAATAACTATATGTTGTATTATATTATTATTTTATTTTTTGATTACATCGTTCTTGTATACAACACAGTTTTGTATATTATCGTCGCGTAATGAATTTAATTATAAGTATACCTAAACATTGTACAACCAGAATTGAATAACATGCGTTTATTTTGTTGAAAGTCATGCATGTCAACTGAATCGTTTTCCTCCCTCGATGTGTTGAAACTAGGAATTACAGTCTGCTCTGAATCTTTAAATTTATATTTAAACTGTTATTTATTTGACCAATTATGTTCAGAAGTAAGTGTAACGAATATTTTTTAATTTATCTAACCTCGATGTGTTCGATAATTATTTTATAATGTTATCTAGAGAGAAACGATAAGTTTTGCAATATATTCGTGTAATTGGACAAAGATGCATATAAAATTTAAAAAAATATTACTGTTAACAACGAACATGGTTAATGCTAATCAACCGGTGATCAAGGCTTCACCGAAGAAAATCATCAACTTGCAGTTCTTCGCTAACGTAATTATAAATTCCTGTGTATAAATATAGAACGTAATATTAATTGGAAACCATAATTTTTGGCAATAAATGAACAATTTGATATACAGGTTGATAAATTTACCAAGAACTAAACATTTTTCATTTAAGTAAATTTGATTTTTGTTTTTCAACTATTCTGGAATTATTTAAGATTTAATTTAACATTATTTACAATATCTATTTCAATGTTTGTATGGTTTACCTTTACGCTTTATATCTTAATTGTGTTAGATGGGTATACACTTTTGATTTTCTAACAGGAACCCTCCCCTCTTTAAACATAGATTCGAATAGAGAATATTTTATAAAAACTTTGAAGTATATGACACATATAGTATTGGATTTATTGTTTATTAGTTAGAATTTCTTTGAACAGTTCAAACTTCGAACCTGTACTGTTTTAAATTTTGAAGAAGAATGATCAGTCTATAAATGGATCAGACGATTAATAAAATTGCATTTGTTAAAAAACCTTTAACTATTCCATAGTGATTGATTAATTTCACTTAAAAACCTGCGAGAAAATCACTGGATCATGATAAGTAGATAACCCTTTATATTAATATTTTTAACGGAAAGCAAACAAGATAAATTATGCCGTATTTTGTAGTTAGATACTAAATAAATATTTTTTAAAAAAAAAGATAAAATAAAATATATTGAATCTATACGTTCAAACTTGTAAAATTTTAACTATCATCATTGATCTTAAACATTTTTTAACTTTACAAACAACCAACAATTGTGAAATAATGTCTTCGTTATTAAGTATCTTAAATCAGAACTTAATATTGTGCGGAGAATAATGATTGTTATTTAGTTTTGTATCTTTGTTTACAAAATAGTTGCAGTTGAAAAAAATACCATATTGCGTTTTTTTCGTAAACTAGTTCATTATTAACACTTTTCGAGACAAAAATTTAATTATTTATTGGTTAAGACCTAATTTAGGAGTGAATAAAAGTCAAATGATATCTAATCTAAAAATCGGATTAATTTAAGTATTTTAACTTAAAAATATGTATTAATTTGTGCTCTAAAATTTGATCAATAGAATCAGTTAATTTATAAATATACCTATAAATTACAACATCAAATATCTCATTAACAATAATTATTATTCCTTTTTGTAGTGTATTTATTTAGTTTTATCACATAAATTATTATCAATTATTTGCAATAAATTTTATTGCAGGTCATGATGACATCTTATAACACAGTCTCTGTCATGGTGAAAACAATTAATACCGAAAACCAACATCGTTACTAATATTACTATAAATGTAAGATTTGTATGATTTAATTGTTGCAATATAGAATTTATTCAGGGTCAGATTAACCGATAAGCAAAATGAACAGTGCTTACGGCCCTCAAAAAATTCAGCCTATAAATGGCCGGTATTTTTTATTTTTTTTATTACATTGAAGAACATTAACTACAATATATAAATGTACACACTATAAGTAATTTTGATCATAAAATAACCAATATTTATAAATTTATTTCATAATTACTGCCAGTCATTGGCAGTAATGAGAGAGAAATGATTAATTCTTTAAACTTTGAAATTAAAAAGCTAGGAAAAACGAGTTATGTGATGGATGGATAGGATAAATAATTCGACAGTTGCAATAGTTACAGTGACTTATTTTTTAATAAATATTAATGTGTGTACTTATAATCTATAATTTTTAATGTGATATGTATTATGTGATTAATATTAAATATTATGTATATTATCATACATCAAATTATAAAACGTGATATTTTTCAATTTTTAGTTCATAGACACGGCTGATCAATTAAGCCCATACAACTTATTTGCTTACGATCCGTGAAGCACTTAATCCGGCTCTGAAAGTAATACAAAATCAAATTGCGCAATGCTGTTTTTTTTTTTACGTATAGCCACACAGTTATATCAGTATAGGTACTACCTTACTCTTTTGAATGTTAATTATCGTTTTTATTGTTACAACTTTTGACAATGATATTCTATAAAAGTGTATACTGTAATTATACAATTATTATGTAAATCGGCATGTTTTTTTGGGTAGTTATTGTATTATATTAACTATATTGCATTTTTATTGTAGATATAATTCAATTTTATTGTTGTTGTACTATTGTGATCTAGTAGTAGAAAAATGTACTTATTTTAGATAATATCTAATATTCGAAAAATGTACTCGTTATATTTATATATGCGAATAAAAAAAAGATGAAATAATAACTATCAAAAACACTAACAGTTATTATATTCTAAATTTATAACCGATTTATTGACGTCATGCAGTAAATGCTGTTCAGAAAATCGACTTTCCTGGTTACTTACTCTTCCAAATGAGTAGGTAGAGTGCCATGTTTAATTCCAATAATTTATTGACATAAATTGACATAAAATTACATTATGTCCGATTTTCATAGGAGGTGTTACACTGTTATCTCCGAAACAATACCTTACTGATTTAACTGAAAATTCGTACATTGAACCCTGGGTGGTTTTTTGTTAGTTAACATGTAAACATTTATATGATGTTGATTGGTAAAACCATAAACCAGTGACGTACTTGAGAGAAGGGGCAATGGTGTCATTTTTGCTTCCCCCTCCATGGTCAGTGTAATATAGATTTAACAAAATAAAAATTGATTATTTTATGAATTTAAATGTTTTATTTTCTATTTTACATTAAAGAACATGAATTAAAATATTTTCATTTCTCAATTATTGTCGTATATTATATTAATATTGTCGTAGTTGTTATTTCATGACTTTTTGTTTAGACATTTTGAGAATACATTGCTCCCTCTGCCTCATAAGAAGAGTCTAGAAATGCCGCTGCAAAAAACTCACCTAAAATAATAATAAGTGAAAAACAAGTTGGTGAATTGGATGTTTAAAATAAACGTACCAACATGTGTGCATAATGGAAATCGGAGTATTGCAAATCTATTTATTTTTTTTTCATACGTATTAATATAAAATATATCGAATGTCTATCAAACTATTGTATAGTTCGATAGTTATGTACTCATAGATAGGGATGTCCATCACTCTTTTTCCGGTATTCCTTTTATTTATCTGGTCATTTCGGTCGAATAAAAACTCTACAAAGTACGCTACGAAATATTATAATACTGCTGTTTTATTATTATGTACACGCATTGTATGTAACGATTACGAGTACCAGCTAAAATCAACATTTATAAGTCTAATAATATAATAGTTGCCAAAATCTTCGCATATCAGTACCATATATTGTATACTGTACACGTTTATCGATTGACAGAAAAAAATCGTGTTCGTAACCACGAAGACATGATTACCATGATACCACGCGCGGTTATTAATATTTGAGCAATTGATCACGTGGTTTACATAATAATAACTTAATGTATAGTCTTTAAACGAATAAAATAGCATTTCACTAATTTTAACTCGTCATAATAATAATAATAATAATAATAATTAGAAAAATCAATAAATAATAATAGCGTCGGGATCGAAAACGCATGCGCGAATAGTGTAAAAAAAAAAAAATAAAAAATAGGTACAAAAATAAAAAATAAATAATAATTTTACGTCCATCGTCCGATAAATTAAATGGAAATGACCGTCGTCGGTTTTCTCGTGTCCCGATAAAATATTACAAAAGCGACAAAATTACGGTCACACACAATTATTACAATATTATAATTTCACGGTGACCCAGTGTTTGGCGGGCTTCGTGGTGGGTGTTAATTGGCAGCGAATGCGTTTATTTTGGCCGCGTTGTACGGGAACTGACTGGGTGCGTGGCCGTTGACCGACGACGGCGACGGCACCGCGGCCGACTCGGAAACGGCTACCGATTCGCTGCCTTCCATCAGCTCGTCATGCACGCCACCATCGTCTGCGTACTCCTGGTGACGCCTCGACGAAGCGTAAGAACCCTCGTACAGCGGCACCGACTGTTGGATCTGCACGGAGGTCTGCATCTGCACCGCCGCCGACTGTTCGCCGGTGGCCGATTTCTCCGCGGACGGTTTGCCGTAGCTCGGCTGGTCGACCGCTGGCGTCGCCGACACTACCGCGGCGGACGACTCGGCCACCGCGTCCCGGTTGGCTGCCGCTGACTCGGCAATCTGAGCCAATACGCCCGCGGTCTGCTCGTTGGGCACGGCCGAATAATACTGGTTCCGAATACTCTCGAAGTTTCCTCGGTCCTGCTGCAGACTTTCCTCGTCCGGCTGCTGCAACGTTTGTTGTTCCGGTGCAGCGGTAGCCTTATTGTTTCGAGGTTCATAGTCTTGCAACTCCTGTTCTTGCTGATACTGCACGCTGGTTTCCACCGCCTGTTGTTGCTGTTGTTGTTGTGTGTACTGTTGTTGCTGTTGTTGTTGTTGTTGTTGTGTGTACTGTTGTTGCTGTTGCTGTTGCAGCTGATCCTGTTGCTGTTGCTGGTGTTGTTGTTGCTGCTGCTGCTGCTGCTGCTGCTGCTGCTGTGACTGTTCTTGTAGTTGTTGTAACTGGTCCTGTTGCTGCTGTTGTTCTTGTTCGTACGACGGCGTATCTTCGGCCGTCTGTTGCTGTGAGATGTACTGTCCGGGCTGCTGCTGCAAATACTGCTGATACTGAACCGCCTGTGGTTGGTACTGGACGGTTTGTGGCTGATAGTGGACGGGCTGCTGTTGATACTGTACTGTCTGTGGCTGCAGGTATTGTAAATCAACGCCCGTGGCGGCGGCGGCGGCGGTCAGCGGTTGTGCGTACTGCAACTGAACGCTCTGCGGCGAGTATTGAAGTGGCTGCCCGATTTGTAGGTCCAACGGCTGCGGTTGCGGCACGGCGTACATTACCTGTTGCGGTACCATATACGCGGTCTGCGGTACCACCGCGGAGGCGACCCCGTTACCGTTCAATAGCGCGTACAGCTCCTGGGCCGTCAACTTGTCTCCGGATTCGGCGGCGGCGGCGGCGGCGGCCGGCACCTGTTGGTGTTGGTGTTGCGCGTCCAAATGCTGTTGCAGGGCAACGTCCAGCGGGACTTTGCCGACGGACGGTATCGAGTCGGCTACATCTATAGGGGGCGATTGTATTTTGGGGCCTTGCACGGTGTCTGGATCCGGGGCGAAATACGACGGTTGACCGCTCAGCGGTTTGTACGCACTCGGATCTTCCGTAACCTGAAAAATGTACGAAAATCGAATATTTTATTACGACGACAATACCTGTCCTAAACCTGACGCCGAGACCTCGATGATTTTTTTATATGTCGCGTTGCGATAAACGGACAACATCATCGACGTTTTATTTCCGGATTAAACTGTCGAACTAGCCACGGTTTTTGTTTGATCGCGATCAATCGCTTTTTTTTTTTTTTTTTTTCGTTTAGTTATTTGTCATATTAGTTGATACGGACTCGCGAACCAGTCGATTCAATCGTAATCGTTCGCAGTCAATCGTTTTACAATTTATCAGACACTGTTGTTATTACAAGATATCCTATTGTGGTACCTATTATTGGGTACCTACTACTATACTCGATGATCTAATTTTTTCGATTTAGAAAGCAACAATTATGTTATAGTCATATTTTATACGGAAATGTACGAATACCTATTAAAATATTAAATTAAAAGTAATCAAAATTTAATCTAGTCGACATTATTCGAGTTCGTGTAGTTTTAATATTATTATGAGCAATACCAATTTTTTTTTCCGCAAAGATTTCTCATTTTTTTCGCGACTTAAATATTTACGTAAATTCCTATTTAACGACTACAACGAGTGCCTGGTTATATGTATATAATATTTTTTCTATTCTATAATAAGAGTCTTAAACACTGAATATGTACTGACTACTATATTCACGTGGTACCAATTGTTATATTACATTTTACAGTTGTCCTCTCCTTTCTCTGATTTAACGCCGCATTATTGTAATATGAAACTATTGAAATTGACATTAGTCATGTTTATTTTATTTTTTTTTTTTATCATTGTATGTACGGCATAAATTCAAATTTTGAATTTACGTTTTATTCTATACTATCATAATTTCTATTGTCGTGATATTATTGTTTCGAGAGAAAGTAATAATATTTTCTAAAAATGATAATTTCAAACTATCGTAATATTATTAATATAATAATAATTATTATTATTAGCATTAGGATGTATGAAAAATCGAGAAATATTAAAATCCAGTACCGGAGTACGTATCATAGTTTTAAACATTTCAAATAACTGAACTGGGACCACCCCACGCATCGGCCGTCAACATATTTCTATTTCGCTTATCGTTTTTATTAAAATATTATATCGACTAAAGAATAAAATGTTCTGTTGGTCATGCTACTTGGGCGCGTAGTTGCGATGTTAGGATACATAATGTTATTTTAATTTCGTTTGTACGAAAAATCTGTGTGGTATACTATTGATTTGAACTACTGAATTATGATTTCTGTTAAAATTTGGGCTTAAAATGCTTATAAAAAAATGATGACGTCCAGCTTATTTCATTAGCTATTAAGTATACATTTTTAACTAACCTCTTGTTAGGTTGTCAAGCATTCCTGTTTTACCAAACAATTTTATTCATATAAAATCAAATACAAAAATAGAAAATGTCAAATGTCTATAAATCGCTAAAACATTTGAATATTTTACCTCGTTTTTAGAATATGTTAATAAGATAAATATAAATATTCAGTCGAAATTGCGCATTTCTACGAATATATTCAACCGAATTGCAACAAAAATAAAGACGGCCATACTTCACGCGATACCCGTCGAGTCATTCATCACATGGCCCATAAAACAGTTCAAATCTCCGAGTTTAACTATTTCGGTCCAAAAGAGCTACCAGAATTGTCCTAAGGTTATATTATAGAATATATTCTAAATATATAACAGTTAAAACACTGAACTATACAGTAAAATGAACACTCGTGTTCAACTTTCGTGTAAAATTCAACAAAAATGTATAGGTACATTTTTGTACGGGCTCAATTAAATAATTAAAAAAACGAACATAATTGGCCCAATGAATGGGCTACTGTTGTAGTTGGGTTGGGAAGGTAGGATATAGAAAGAAATTTAATTTATATATTATATATTAATTAATTTATGTATTGAAAGACTGTAATATTTACGAATTTCGTTAAAATTTGATATTAAAATTCTTCAAAAAAAAAAAAAAAAAATTTGTAGGTACATTAAATTATTATTATTATTATTATTTTTTTTTTAACATAAATTACGACTTATAACCTTATGTTAAATTTTTAAAAATGTATAATTGGTTTAACAGTGTTATCCATAGAGTACCTACTGAATAATAACAACGAAAAAACCTGCAAACATAAAATGCTTATGTAAAGCTCAAAAACCAACAAAATATTTTCAAAACTTTACAACGTCTAGAAAAAAAAATAAAAATAAAATTCGATTTTTGGCAATTAAAAAAAATATTTTGAAAAAAATGAGTTTTACGAAGTTGTTTTTTACTGTAACTTGAACAATAAACAGACGTGACTTATTTCGGAAACACTATCAAATTCGGGATAAAAAAACGGACATTTTCCAATATTATAATACCCAATGATGGGAAGTCAGCATTAATACGTCCCGTACTAACGTCTTAAGTTAATAGTGGCTCTATATAGATAGTTATACCTGATACGATGATTTTTCGTCAGTTATGGAATTGTCCAACTGTTGAACGAACGATTGCTGATGCTGCGCCCTGTATAATTGTTCGTCAAAATTGGCAGGTTTGTCAGCCGGATTAAGATTCGGGGCCGGTATGGTCTTGATGGGACCTCTCTCGTCGTCGCTGTTGATTATGTAGGGTCCTCTACGTTTTTCCAGTGGCGGAGGCTGGGTGGCTGGCACTACGTGAGAGGCGGCGGCGGTGGCAGTGGTCGGGATGCTGGGAAAACGTGTCGGGAAATCCGGTGGCCCAACAGATAACTTGGGACCCGTCCGAATGTTGGTTATCTGCGGCAAGGGTTGCGGTTGTGGTTGTAACCGTTGCTGATCTTGGCCACCGAACTGGTGTGGGCCTTGCGGGGAGTGCTGGTTTGGTAAGTTCGCTAGCAACTGCGGTTTCGACTGAAATTGCGGTCCTATCGGCTTAAAGTTGGGTAAGTGGTGTGGAGGCGGCTGATGTTGTTGCTGCTGCTGCTGCTGATGTTGTTGTTGCTGTTGAAACTGTTGATATTTGCCCGGCGATGGTGGCGGGGGGTATTTACCGAAGGTTGGTGGTAATTTTGACTGCGGTAAGCGCACGCCGGGTGGCAATAAATGGGGATTAAATTTGGAGTAGTATTCATTTTTTCCGAAATGACTGCCGGAAAACGGCGGGAACTTGGCTGGGATGGGACCTCCGTTTTGTGGCCTGTACTTTTGTGGAGGCGGAAACGGTTGTGGTGGACCGTAACCGGGCGGTGGTACGCCGAGTACCAGCTCCACGGTAACTAGGAGTGTTAATGCGGTTACCGCTACCTTCATCTGAAAAATGTAAACGAAATTATATTTATGCATTTCTTAGCGCTGGGCCTTGGAGTTAGAAAGAAAATATTACATTCTCCGTGTGTTCGATTCAAATTCTCTAAAGTGTACGCGGTTATTTAAATCGATGGGTTCGAACTCAATTTCAAATGAAAAAACCATTACCTTGTTCACCGTTAAATCCTTTTATAAGCCCGGTTCACACGATCAACTATTTCCCCAAATAATTAAAGTGTAAAAGTGTAGATAGAAATATTTGTTTAAAAAAACCGCCAGTAACCACACTGTTGAATATTATGTATTAATGTATAAATGTCTCTGTCGATTGGTTGATTTCGAAAACTAATTGAAAATAAACTAGTGTGTAAATTACGTTTTATCCCCGGAGTTTGAGTGGAGGCAGTCGACATTCACATCGTTTCGTGTTGCGGAATCATTGCGAACCGATCAACATACGGCCATGTACGATCGTACGTCAGAATACGTAATGCCGATCGCAATTGTTCGTTTCGCGCGCGTTGCCGTTTAGCACTAAACAGCGCCGAACGCCATTCGGAAAAACATTTTTTCGAACGCCGATCACACGGCGAAAAGTCGATGAAACGGCGGCGGAGGGTGCGGGCGGAAAACGCCGTCCGTCCGGCCAGAAGCGAACGCGGACCCCGACGCGCGGCGCCCGAGCAATGATTTCACGCCGCCGTCAAAACGCGATCGGCGACCATTACGATCGGCACGCACGGCGGCGGCGGCGGCGGCGGCGCGCCGCGTGAAAACCGTTCCGCGCCGCGCGTCTGTTCGTCCGCCACTCGGATTACGGGCGAGAACGTATTTGCGCCGCGTACGGGCGACGACGCGAGAGAGAGACGCGCGCGTTCCGTTTCGATTTTGCCGGCCGCAACGCCGGTCGGAGGCCGGAGTGAAAGCCTCGTCGCGTATCGCGACATCCGATTTATAGGGAATAATAATAAAAAAAAAAAAAAAAAATAATAATCATAATAACGCGATTGACGAACGGATATATATATGTGTGTGTGTGTGTGTGTGTGCGTATACGCGGACGAGAGTATACATTACAAACCCGATCCGTAAGATACATACCTACATAGACGCGTGTGCGTGTGCGTGTGCGTGCGTATATTATTTATGTTGTACGCGTTTCGGTGGTCCGGCCGGTTGCCCGTGGCGGTTTGACCGGGACCGCCGCTATACGCGGTACGCGACGTTTTACCGGTGAAATTACACGGTTTTTTTTTTTTTAATACGCCGCGTTCGCAATAGCAATAGCAATAATAATAACGTATAGGCGAGTGTACAATATTATAGGTATATTTATATATATATAGGAGGTGTACATATTTCGGGTGCGACCGGAAAGAAAGTGGTTTATAATATAATAATTACCGGAGCCGGCCGTTCGGTATCGCGGCGCGGAGATTCGAACGTTTCGTTTATTATCCGGTTTATCTGGATGACACACGCGCGCGCGCAGACGTCAAGAAAGTCTTTTTTGCTTCTTTTTTTTTTTTTTTTTTTTTTTTTTTTCCTCTCCTTTACTGCTTTCGCTTATAACGCGCAGCGCCGGCACCGGCCGCGGAGCGCGTTAACGCAGACGCAGGGGACGGAGAAAAATCGCGATCGCGATCGCGAGCGCCGGAGCGATCGAATTCCGTCTGCGCACACGCGTTACACGCGATACCACGTCCCCGACCGGACGGATCCTTTTGCGTAACGGTTGCAAGAACGTTTGTCGGCGCACGCGATAAACTGACGAGCGTATGCGATTTCCCCGCGGCCGCCCGCCAACCGCCACGTGTCCTTTCGTATCCTCTCGGTACGGCGGACGAGCGAACGAATGTAACGCGAGTTGTTATTAATCAATCGCCGACGTCTTTCTTTTAGTTGTTTTTTTTTTCGGTTTTTTTTCTCGATATTTTCAACGTCGCGCAAAATACACAAACGCACAATGCACGCGATGCGTGTGTAGGCGTTATTTTACGATTATATTGTGTACGTTTGTTCGCGTAGAACTTTTACTGGTAAACGAAACAAAACCGTTACACGCGCGTCTTTTGTGTTCTAAACACGATTTCGGTTTTCGTAAATCTTTTTTTCTTTTTTATCGACTCGGTGCGTCTACGTAACTTTTTCATGTTATCATGTATAAATAATATTGCATTGTCATCGGCTAATCGTTTTATTATTATTCCTATTGTAAACCAATGTTACCTACTAATTTTGCGTCATTTTTACGTAATAAATAAAACATTTAATTGTCCCGGTAGCGTAAACGTATAAACGCAACATGTGGGTAAGTGTATTATACAAAAACAGATGTACAATATTTGTACATTGTTACACAGGGTATGCCGCGGGAATTTGGCAAACGCAATAACTCATGTTAAGGGTTTTTTTTTTTTTTTTGTTTGTAATTTCGCCTAGAGATTCGCACGAATAGAATGTAGAACATTTTTTTTTTTTTTTTTTTGTTTAAAGATAAAACATTGGCGATATTTACCATCACCGCTAATATCGTTACCGTCACATCGTACGAACAAATCAGTACCTACAATATATTGTTAATAGTTATGATTTCGAAGACACGGTTCTATGGTCCTACAGTTCTATACCTCATATCAATTTTGTTTGATGCGCAGACCACCTTCACCGCGCAACTGTTCTTGCGCTATGATTCTTATAATTTACATATTTTTAATATCATGAGTGGAGTGACATTGTCGGCTTCATTGCGATTGTGTGTGACATTTTATTTTTTGTGTCTGTGAACAATTTTTATATTTTTATATCAAATCTTGCTTGAAAACGAAACTACAAGAGGGATTTTCAGATCAAATTCAGTTAGAATAACTAGGTTCCTTTATCATTATCCTTTTACAAATAAATACGAAAAAAAAAACTTAGGAAAACCGAGAAAGTTTATGAAAACAATGGTTTCATTATTTTCGATTTTGTTTTCTTTTTATTGTAATTTAGTTAAAAATAATTTTAGAATCTAAAATTTTCATAGAATAGGTTCTTAAATAGTCTTTTGTTTACGCTGCATAATTTTTAAAGCATTTTGATGATTTTTGAGCTATTTATAGACACCTAACATTTACGGAATTATTTGTTTATTATTTCGTTTTATGTATAGATAAAATTAATTGGACGGAAAGAAATACTTGCAAATTCAATACAATAATCATTAAAAATATTATTTGATTTTAAAAAAAAGTAAAATTGAGTATGTAATGTAGTAACTATGTTTTGTGAGCACTTTAAGTTCAAATTTTGACGAAAAACGTAAAAATCACGGCATCTCGAGACATTTTAAACCGAACTTCGCTCAGAACCGTAATTTGTAGGTAATGATTTATTGTTGTATAAAGATATATATTAAATAATTAAATTAATAACTCTATTTAATGGCACACCCATCCGCACGTATCAGCAGGTTTTTAAATTATTGTATTATTGTATCAAGTGTGTATGTTATAATTCGTAAATGTGCACCTTGTTGAACAACTAGTTACTACTAGTGAACTACTAGTTACTGTAATTAGTAGTTACTAGTACTGTACTAGTATCGAAACAAAATTCAATATTTAGGTATAATTTTTATACCTGTATTTTAGTTAATGAAATAAATTATTCACTCTTGAACTATATTTTATTTTTTTATAAAACCACAGGAAAACGTTATTAAACGAAAAAAATTCAATAACGAAAGTTTTTTTTTATTTTTTTTTTAAATATTGCTATTATTTATTGCTGTTTTACTTTTTGTAATCGTTTTATTTCTCTATGCCCTATAGTAATAATGATTCTGTTATCGAAAAAGCGGTACCTAATTTTGATAAGTTATAACTAATTGTTGATAATTAATAAAGCTGTATAAGAAAACTGTGGTTAACATCCATCGGTTTCGGCGTTTATATGAAGTAGGACGTAAATATGGTTGTAACTTATAAGTTATAACATAACTTTATCAGTTATGTGCTATAGTTATAGTTACTAAAATTTTTGAGATATACACTAACATGTTGTTCCTAAGTAACTTGTTTCTGTTATAAATAAAACGAATTGTTAACGTCTACATAATATAATGTTTTAAATATCTACCCTATAATCTACCCTAAATATCTCCCTATTTATCCCATGTTTAACTTTAGAGAAAAAAAAACAAAAACGTTTAGCAACGTTTTTAAAACCATTTAGCAACGTTTTTAAAACCGTTTATCAAAAACGTAAAACGAAAACGAAAAAATTAAAAATGTTTTCCACCCTTTCATAAGACACAAAGAATTGTAAATTAGAGTCGGAGACATAATAATATATTATTATTATAATATATATTATTATAAAAGGTTACTATAGAGGCTCCGAAATTAATAAACAACCGTTTAAAGTAGCGATAGATAAATTGCGCTGTATTTTTAAACCGAAAACACTATATTTTTTTTTTTTTTTTACAAAATCCTAATAGTCATTTTTTAAATTTTGAAAAGAAATTTTGTTTTTACAAATCTCTTTGCTAATGGCAAGTCGTTAATTTTCTAAAATTTTACAAAGATTACAAATATTTTTATTTTTTTTATTTCCAATACTAAATAATAATTAAATTCTAGTAAGCTAATGGCTCATCATTATACTAAACATTTTTAACACCACATTTTGTATCAAAATAAATGCATGAAATTGCTGACTTAAATTTTGTACACAAAAATTTTATTTTAATTTTTAGTTAAACAAATTATAAAATGTAAATCAGAGCGCAATATTACAAACAAAAAACAAATTAAAAATATTGTATAAAACAAAAGTTATTGTATTTGTCGAATCTCTGGGGAATACCTTCTGTATACAAAGTGATCCATTTATAAAGAACTCGCAATTTTATAGGGCAATAAAATTTGAGTGAATAAATCTGTCATACCTACGTGAATTTTCAAAATTAAACAATTTTATAATGACTGAAAAAAAAAATTATTTCAATTAAAATCCTCTGAGAAAGTCCTAGGTCCCTAATTCATAATAAATGAATTACTCGGTATACATTTTACAGGTATAATAAACGTAGTGTAATACGGTAATACGGATGGATTTAGATGGAAATGGGATTCTTTTGGGAATTTGGAAGAGTACCGAAATACACATCGTTTAAGCCGATGTTTAAAACGTTCTCGTTTCCCCCTTCTCGTTTACTTAAACAGGAACACCCATTATCTCCCCCTTCACAAAATGATAATTGTTTCCTTTTAAAATATGCGTTTGAAATTTTAAAATCGAGAGTATAATCATATTTTTTAATATATTTTAAATGCCAGCTATATCTCGGGTGAGTTTTGAGATTTAAAAAATAATAGACTATTTGGTTGATGGCGTTCCAAAATAGGTGTTTTTATTTAAGAAAATCGGCTCATATCGTGTATTTTCCTACCCTAAGGGAATTAAAAAAAAAAAAAAACAAAAACACGTTACAATCCGAGGCCAACCGACGGAAATATTTCAGGTTATCATTTGAGTGTCCGATACACATTGCATACATGACGACAAGTGTAATATCTGGCCTATTCGATTTCGTTTGCAGCTAAATGTAATAATTTCTGTTTAACCGTTTTTAATTTAAAATAGAAAAATTCGCTGGTTTTAAATTAAAAATATTTCATCCGTATAATAAATTATTTTCAGATACAATACACGATAATGAAGTGATCGAATCCATTCAAACCCCCTCGACAAGCGATGCGATTTTTCCGTTACATCATAATTATAATACGTCGATTCAAAAACGTGATTATAATATTATTATGTGGAACGGGTTGAATAATAATACCGGACAAAGCGGTTGTGTAGGTATCAATGTTTAGGTGCATATAGGTACAGTAGGTACACGCTACGGTACCTACTCGTCGGCTATTATAACAGTATAGGTAGGTACCTAATATAATTTATTCATCGATCTATGAATAAAATTACAATAACATTAATATTACGAAACGATTGAAAAGCGTTTATTCGAAAACGATTCGACAGTTCGGAGTTTTGAAAAAAAATGTTTGAAGTCTAACGCTTCCCGCCGATGATGCGTCAGCTGCGAAAGTCATATGAATAGGGGCGTATAATACGCAATGAGGGATTGAGAAGTTAACCCCCCCTCCTCCAAACATTTTAATGTTACTACAGGTGTGTTTTTAAACTCCAAATTCACCTTCATTATAACACGTTATTATAACTTATTAAACGTCGCGCGTCGGAAAAATATATTGAGCTAGATCGAGACGAAAAATAATAATTCGTAAATAAAGGTCATTTTGTCTGCAATACGCGTGTTTAGTTTTGTTCATCAATTTATGCACACTATTTGTATCGTAAAAATTACACCTAAAGAGGCATATTCGGTACTCATCAGTTATCAGCAGAGTTGACATGGACATTTTAAACAAATCTTGTTTTGTTTTCGATTGGTTTTTTCGCTATTTTTAATTACGTTGAAACAGCCTTTTCCGAAACACATTTCGGTTTTAAACGATTCGCGTACCTGGGAGTACGTTATTTTTTTATGTTATATATTTGTATATATTTATTATATAGGTGCGTTGTTTACATAGGTATAACGTAAAGCGTGCGCCGTACAGTAACGGGTATACAACTCGAATTACTAAATCAAAATACTAAAAAGCCAATCGTATGATCCATAGTAACATACTCATTTTTATTCAATTTATAACAGGTCGCTTGGTCTCAATAACAGCCAGAAAGCCGCAAACGTGAAAATGCGGAATGCTCACCAACGAGACTGACTGAGAAAATAAAATATGTCAGTGACGAGGCACCTTGAGTGGAGTTTTTTCATGACGGTTAGATCAATCGTTTCAAACAACACTGTGTGGTTGATTGAGTCGTTGAAAACCGTATTTTAAACATATCGTTATCAATTCTGCTGATCAGCCCGTACTTGTATTTCGCATAGGTGTTCATAAAATAATCGCATATCGAAAACTGGGTCCGTAACGATTGTTATTCAACGTGCACAACGGCGAAGACGGCTACACGTATTGAAATAAACCTACACCCTACTTATGATAAATGTCAAAACGGTCGATACCAGTTATAACGGTTTCCGGTATTCGGAATAAACTATCGTTTTATTAGTATTCATCCGCAGTATCTATACTTCTACGCCGGAACACTTATTACACCGTGCGTATCTTCTCGCTCGTGTGATTTATATTTAAAGAAATAAAAAAAAAAAAACAATTTAGAAAGTGCAAACGAACTGTACAATTTCGTATTAAATATAATATTGTATAGTATTGTATATGTGTATGGTATCACGCGGTCAGTAGAACAAACCGCGGGCGCATCACTGTAGGTATATTATTACTATCATTATTATCGCATTTATCACATGTCGTACCCGAAATTAAACATGTAGTGTATTGTATTGCACGATGATTAGCGACCATTAATAAATCAATTTCGGATAACGTTTAGTTGAAATAGTGACAATTGATAATTGACACGGCCAAGTCAAACGACCCTTAACGGACGATTATAATAATATTATAATTATATAGATAGGTATGCCAGATCGCACGGCATTTTAATTAATTTTTTTTTTTTTTTTGTTTTCATACGGCTACTAATTAACGATAATTTATCGGGTTGAATATTAGATTCCGAGCGTAGCGAGGGAGCTATTGATTTTACAATGCTGTTTATTTATTCTTTTTTTTTTTCTAGTCTGTGGACACGTTTTTTTTTTTTTTATAGTAAATTTGATCCGATGTCAAAACGTAGCACGTTTTCCGAAAGCTCAAGGTTTTTTTTTTTGTTTTCGACGCTATTTTTTAAATAAAAGCACTCAAGTGGGAACAACGTGGGAAATTGTACAATTTCACGATTTCATTATTTTATAAAAACACGGACGACGTTTTCTACCAGAAATATTGATTTAACCGAAAAATCATAAAATATCTTTTTTGTTGTCTTTTTGATTTACTTTCTTACGAAATTATTGCCGAAAATTTTGGGCCATTTTTGAGCTTTTAAGGAATTTTAATTTTTGGTAGTTTTTTTTTTGGTGTTATTCGGTTATAAATACACGTAAAGACTTGAAAGTTGGTAATAATACTTTCATTGGACTTACCTAGACGTGGTAAAATTTCCAAAATGTTACGAAAATTGAAAAAAAAAAAAAATACGTCACTTCAAATTATGTATTACTGAACTGCGCTCGGTATCGTCTTTCATCAACGATAGTTTATCGTTGCTTACAGATATAAGTAAAATAACCTTATACGTCCTACCATCCCAACTTCTCACTTACAACAGTGGCTGCACCTATCCCTAGTGTCAGCTTTTTTTTTTTAATTAACCCAGCCGAAACCTTGATGAAATTCTCGAACGATTTATCTATTATTACTCGATTGATTTGTTTAAACAATGATATCACAGTAAAACAATATTTGTCGTTACGTTTGAACTATTGTACTTCCGCAATATTATTACTTATATACCCACACAAAGTGTTTGTGTGACAGTGAAAAAAAACATTAAAGTTCTGAGGCGGAGAAGGGGCTAATTACACAGGGGCAGTGACATTTCTATCTATTAAGTATTAAGTTGCAGGTAACAATACATTAGAGTGGTGACAAAAACCCTAATAGTTTATCATTGCCTGATATCCGCCACTGATCATTAAGATTCGACAGTTTTCTACAATGCACAATTTCGTGGGAAATCGTCAAATCTTGCAGATAGCGAGTACGCTGTGCATAATTATAAAATATACGAATTTAGTTTTTATTTAGTGCATACAGTGTTTATACACAATATTTACGAGTAAAGTACATTATAGTATTGTGATAGTTATTGTACTTACATTTGTTTGTGGTTTTCGGCGATATTCGACGATTGAAACGGTGTTATGGTAATATTATGCTTGTATATAATATTATATAACTGCGGAAAATGTATACAGATAGACGATAGATAGTCGTTTAGCATCTGACCACTGACTATACAGACGGCGACGACAGCTCTGATGTGGCTGCGATTGATGTGTACGTATATTTGATTTTTTTTTTGAGAAAGAGACAGAGAGACTTCGTCACGCGACAAACGACGGCCGACCGTAGCTGCTGGATAGGTAAAGCCAGTGTGATAAAACCAGAGGTATACTGACCGGACGCGACGGTCGAGGAAAAGAAGAAGATTATACTGCGTTACCCGGCACACGCGACCAAGGTCACCGCGGATACGAATGATATTTGGGTCACCGGCCGACTAATATTTATAAGTTCGTATACCTACTCACACTCTCTTTATTTACCCCTCCATGGTCGTTTGTTTTCTCTCTCTCTCTCCACTCCGCCTTCCTCCTTTTCTCTCTTTCTCTTTCTCTCTCTCTCTCGATCCGTCTTCCTCCTTTTCTCTCTTTCTCTTTCTCTCTCTCTCTCTCTCTAACACACAGCAGCAGCAGAACCGGACAATAAATGCTATGAAATCATCGATATTCGTATATAACACTTTCGTATATACCTATGTACCTAATCTGCCGTCTGAGGCGAAGATCGCGCGTTATTGCTGCCGCATCCGCAGCAACGTATCCACCGCCACCGCCGCCGTCGCCGCCCCGTTCAACTTTCGTCGTATACCTCCGATCAGCTTTCCCACCAAGGACACAACGATATAGACACGTATAATTACCGCGATTTTACGACGACCGGTCGAGTTTTCAGGTTCACCGTAATCTCGTTGACATATTGTCTCCGGAGAAATTTTTTTTTTTACCGTGAAAGTGAATCGGATTCCGATCCGGCGTACCTGCGTAGCGGGTTTTCTAGTGTAAACTTACGCCGAACCCCGTGCGCCGTTAGGTATACGTCAATATACCGGCGTATTATTCAAATTTTTTTTTATTTTTATTATTACTGCCTAACTATAATAATAAATTCCACTACGACCTTGAGGCGATAACAATCTCATGGTGCGTATATAATATTACGTCGATACGTGGGCCGCCAAACGATCCAAATTTCGCCGGCGAAAAGTCCACGAGAAACTTGTCGAGAACGAGTATCTGTATTCATGCCGACTGAAATTTATATCTTCTCGTGGTATTTGCGTATTTGGCATTATGTGAAAGCCACGATAGTCGCCTATATAGTACGCGTATAGGTAATATATACAATGCTATAGTTCCGATTTGTATATAGGTAGGTAAAAAGGTTATTTATCGTGCATAGTCTCTCTGTATACATTCCAACAAATTTCGAATATTCTCCTCACTAGTGACTATCGGAAATATGTCTGTGCCGCAAGTGCACTACCTACGATAATATTATCATTTATCAGTAGTAGGTGCCTACCGAGTACCAATGCCTGTCGGAGAGGGATGCATTTGGAACTCGATTTATTGAATTGGTTTAACGTTGATTCACTGTTCCAGATCCTGCGTATATACACCACCATTACATTTCTTACAATTTCATTATAATCACATAGGTATTCGTCTCAACTCGACTAATTTTAACTCAAATGAACATTGAACTCGATATTATAGATAAAAAAAAAAACTTTATTATTCGAATGCAATTGTATAGATTCCGAGTATGTAGCGAAAGTATTAGTTTTACGAGGATGTGTTTTTTTCGAAAATCATTTTTTTTGGTTAGTAAAAATGACTGGTTTTTTCATACCCACTGTACTTTAAGAGATAAAAATCGTATGCCTGGTAGAAAGTTATTTAAAATTGTCTGCGTTTGATTCTTTAGATGCTTTTTTAGATTTTGAGAGTAGCGTTACTATATGTGCGCTATCTTGTACATAATAAAATCAATTTTTTTTTGTTTTTGTGTATTAGAGTGAAAATTAAAAATAAAATTAAAGTTTATCAACACATGTTTGGCCGAATTTCAATCAGAATCACTTTTTGTCACCAATGATTTGTCGTTGGATATTGAATAGGTGCCTATTAAATTATCCTATACTTGATGTAACACGAAGATCTGTAATCTTCATCTTATTTCAAGTTCCCCATCTAAAAATTAACTTATTAGTATTTTAATTGTAGCGCAGAAGCATACAAATTGTTGAAAACAGAAAAAATATTAAAAATATTAAATAAAAAAGTTATTTTAGTTGTCGGGTTTTCCCTCAACGTGCCACCTACAACAGTGGCCCACCCATAGTGCGAATATTATGATGTCAGTCTTTTTTTTTTCTCTATAGTGTTAACTATATAGTATAACTATTTTAAATATATTAAATTTCTGCATACAATAAAGGTGTATATTTACTCAGCGTGCTTTCGATTTTTAATGAATGCACACCCAGTCTATTACAGTAATATAATATGATCAACGTGCAAGTGAAATATAATTAAACGAAATAATATAGGTAGTAGGTACCTACCTATTATTAAATAAATTGGATTATTCTTTATTATATCCAACCACTCGAATTATAATACACATTTCATTTCCGCGATTTCATTATTTTTTTTAAGATTTTACGAACTCTTTTCAGAAAATGTTATACCTAATTTATAAGTTATCAACAAATTAATTAAAATAATAACCTGGGAAATTTTTACTTCTCTATACTATACTTTACACCTATTATCTCAGTTGGCTACTCATTTAATACCATTTTTAATTTCCCTAATTGTCAGCATATTATTACATTAACTAATCTTTCATTTCATTTTTTTCTACAAAACCTAAACAATTACTGTAAATTTATATACAAATATATAAAATATATACATATACCTACATAGTATATATATTATGTATACATAGGAGCGTGTTGTGTATATTTATGTGTAACGTCGGTCTAATTCTCAATAATTGCCCTACCTCTAAAATAGCAACTGTTCCAGGAAATCGAAAATATTTCCGCCACAAGTCTCAAAAAAAAAAAAAAAAAAAAACTATAAATTGACAATATTTTACACGGAGATAATAAAACTTTTTCTTCATTAGGACAATTTCGTTTTATCAGCACTTTCAGGGAAAAAACATTTTTAGTTTTTTGAGTACCACGCATTTAAAAGATGCGATATATCTATTTTAATTGGAAATATCATAAATACAATAAATTATTTTCTCAACATCCCGTGAATACGTCTATTTTTTTTTTTTCATTTTTGTACAAAGAATATTTTTTAATAAAGTTGATTTTCAATTATCATCTAAAAATAACACAGATATAGCATTAAATATTAAATTAAACACGGACGTGTGTGTGTGTATGTTTTATCCGGGGATATTAAAATCACAAAAAAAAGAAAACAGGAATTAAAATATTCAGTTAACTTCTTACGTATTATTTTAGATTCGAATATAGCGAAGAATGTTACAAAGATGTTTATTTATTTATTTTTTTTTTCATACTGTGTAAACAATTTACAATTTTACCAGAAATCATGTTTCGAAATTTTAGCTGCACCTGTTCTGCAAGGGAATTTGTCTCCAGCAGTATTTTTGGCAAGTCGTTTTTTTATTTTCCTAGCTGTTTTCATAATAAATGAGAAAAACCAGGAAAAAAACATTGAATAAACGTAGGTAGGAAAAACAGGAAAATAGATACAACATTAAACAAATGTTATTAAAGAATATATATGATACATAATATGTTATTATTTTACCATAATATAACATATATATATATATATATATATATGTATATATTGTTAACAAAGCTACACTATTAACCGAATTCCGCTCAGAATCGTTTTTCGTTAGCAATGGTTAATCGCCGCGTACAGATATATATTAAATTTTCTCTCTACCTTCCCAATTTCTCGCTTACATTAGTGCTACATCCGCGTGCGAGGTATGTCCGTTTTATGAATTTTTGAATTTTATATCCGTTTGTAATATAATATTATTAATTGTCGTAATCCTAATTCGTCGAAATCGCCGTAAACGCGCATGAATTTTGACCTGTTTTTGGCCTAATCAAGAACGATATATTGCTTTATCATATTTTTTAAATAAACCAGAATAGCTTTCATAGGGCGATCATTGATTAGCTTATCAATACGCAAATCAAAGGATAAAACATACATTAATATTACTAGGTCGTGGGATATCAGTTTTTCTCAAGTTCGACTAAAAACAAATAATAATATTTATGCCTACCAATATTTATGTCTAAGAATCCGTAGGTGTAATTAAATTTAATGATCTTATGGGATCATATAATATTATGTTCTCGTTTTACGGGTATTATTATTATTATTTTATGAACTGATTATATTATTTTAAATGTTATGTATATAATATTTAGTTAACTATGTTACAATTTTTTTTTAACCAATGTTCCCGCGCAGTTTTACAGACATCATTATTTACTGGTTATCACAGTAACCAAACTCGCTGTTAATTATTTATTTTAGTTTCAGCGAAAAATATATCAATTATAATACGATGTGTGCGATTTTCGTTGAATTACCATCGAAAATAGAAACTATTTTAGCTCATTATTTTATACAAGTACACATTTTTTGTCTGGTACATTTGGGCACTTATGGTGACTCCTTTTAAAGCAAAAGAGTTTAAACTCGGGAATTTGGGTTTTTTTAGAGGCGGGTTTTTAATCAATTTTGGTTGAATATCGGTATGAACTTCACCATACTGTTGTGGAAGGAGGGTGTTATTCATGTAGCATTTTTGATCTAATTGGATGCATTAGAAGTAGATTTTTAAATTTTATTGTATTCTTATTATTAGTATATCAAAAAAAAAACTAGCAATTTATTTTTGTATTTTTTGTGATTTATAGGTTAACTAAGAAACAAGGTAGATAATATTTTAAACTGAAAATTTAGACAAAACTGTAAGAATTGCATTTGATGGATTTCAATTTTGAAAACGTATGAATAATTCTTTAAGATTTCTAAGTTCTATATTACGATGGAATTATTTTTTTTAATTTCAATTATCTTCAAGGTAAAAAAAAAAGTTAAAATATTTTAAATATATTTTTCAAGGGTAAAAAACGTTTCCAATTTTAGATTCTGAGCAAATCGAGGAATTTATTAGTTTTACAATAATATGTTTTGTTTTATAAACATTTTTTCTACCAGAAATTTTGCCCCGATTTTCAACTTTGGCACTTTTTTTGAATTGAAATCTTACTGAGGTAGTAATTTTTTTCATAATAAATGAGAAAACCCAGGATAAAACGTAGTAAAACAAGTAAAATAGGTACAATATTAAAGAAATTTTATAAAAGAAAGTATATAAT